ACTAAAAAGAGGGAATATGTCAATAAAAAAGAGGGAAAGAGTATAATGTCACAATTATTTAGAAGACCGTCAAAACGTCAAAATATATAATAATAATCTTAAACATTTCGTTTGATCCCTACGTGAGGGTAATTTTCGTAATGGTCACTTATTGTTAAGGGTTTGTAACCTGTATTTATGCCTACATTATACAATAACACCTATTACAATGCGATTAGAATATAAGTGTACATGTGTGTGCAAAGGGCATGGTGTACTCATAAAACGTAAAAAACCTCTAGTCTAGCGAAAAGTAAATACCAATACTGCATACACATTCATACAATTCTAGTCCTCTACACATGCTGTCAGACAGTACCAGCAATAATTACATAATAACCCGTGTAACCTCAATAATTTTAATGCCATATCGCAACTCCAAAGGTTGATCATGACCCCATCAATATGAACCCTTTGATCCCAACCACTGACGCTTCCAAAAGCCTTTATGGAGGCTTTAATCGCAAATCAGCAGCACCTATGTGATTAATCTTAGGTAAATTAATTACCCCTAACCTTCATACTTCACGGTTCACATGTTTAGGCAAACTGCCGTAGCTTGGGAACCCGCTGGGAAGTCTGATTGATAAGCGGTAGCGAGTGTAGGTTTTATTTTTGCGCGTATTTCTTATTTATGAGGATAAGGTGAGATGATTTCTTATTATAAGTTTGAAAAATAAGCGTGGTGATTAATGCTCAAAACTTCTCCGAGCCAGAAAAGGCCTTTGGTCAGCAGTGGCCACTTATAGGCTGATTTGATTACGATGGGTGTTTTATTGCGAATTATTTGTGTTAAACAAAATCAGAACTAAATAAAGTGTAAATATTTATTGTAGTAAGAATTTAGTTAACTTAAGAATGTGACAAAAAGCTAAGTTACATTTCGAGATATAAAAGTTTTAGGTTTATCAGAGAGCGATTGCTGCGAGGTCTTTGTCAAATACCTATGTTGTCTCTCAAAACACTTGAGGAAATAGTAAAAGTGAACGACAAGTGTATTCTATTCCACAATCACAAACAATATAGTATGACGATGAAACTACAATTTTCACCCACACATACAAAAAATATATATCCTCTGCTCGCTCCAAACTTGCACCACAGACATAGGCCGCCATTTCTCATCATGACCTTCCTAGCGACAAGGGTGGCTTTGTTTGAGATATAATGGTGGGAACCATTTAGCTGGAAAATGTGCCCAGAAGCCATCATTCCTCTGTATTATGTTCGCAAGTACGTAACCTAGATATTTGTACTGAATTATTGTCTCTACATCCGTGATATTGTTAGATTTATGAATGTTGGTAGCGTTTTGACGTTTATGTGTTAGGTTAGGTTTTTTGAGGTTATGTCACGTGGTCTTTTTTTTAGGTACCTATCGTTTTGATACTTTAATGAAGTAATTTGTTGGATAATAACTTGTGTATTTTAGAAGTGTAGGTTTTAATCATTCACTTTGAATTGAAATACTTTTATTGATAGTATTTAACGAGATAGGATTTCCTTGTCTATTAGGTAACAGGGTAACCAAAAAGCCGTAGTGTTTTCTATTGCAAAAGATTAATAGTTTATCGTATAAACTGTAATATTATTCATATTATTGTAAAATACAGCTATTATAAGGATTTCTCCGCAGCCTTCGACTGTTAATTACTTTTACTATAGTAGAGGTATATTTTCTCTATTTTCTATTAATAAGTAGGTACAAGTGATTTATAGAAATAATTATTTAATGAGTAATTATCAAGGAATTCTTTTTATAACAGCCATCTCAAATGGATGGCCTTTCAAGCTTCATAGGACAATGTAGGTCACAGGAATTCCATACAACCTATTTTATTTGTATTACTTTCTTAGCACATTCCATAGAGGTACAAACACACAATGTAGGTATAAAAAGTATACTTCAAATGCAAATATGGAAGCCACTTCAGGGGAAAAAGTATCACAGATTTCAACGATAATTTTGATCGACATTCAAAACAGAAATTGGTTCACGAGTTTATGTGCTATAGATATTTTACGATCATTTTATACCTTCACAAAAGTAGCTTGAAGGCATTACTTGTGTATATAGAATAGATCTAAGCCTAAGCAAATATAGAATGTCTAAACTTCTTTCTTGCAACCGTTTCTTTCCTTAAAAAGTTTACTCGACAAATGTAATTCGTTTCTAGGGGACTTATCTCGGTACTTGGAATTTTTTGAGAACCCTTCAAAGGGTTTTTGGGTCCATTTCGCTTATTCCGCAGAGAGCATCTGTTTGCGCCTTATCTAAAGTTCCTTCGTCCTGATTAGGTCACGGGAACACTTCTATGTTACTGCCAAGCGGAAGACGGGAGAGTTGAGGAAAAGAGGAAAATGAGGCTATCAATGCCGTTGTTTTAGGAAAACTCAAACATAAACAAGTTGTATTAAGGCTTAAAGTCGTTACAGGTCACGACAATCGAGTTCAGCTAATAATAACCCGACATCGCAAAAGAGTATTGATTTTTAGTCTATACCTAGTTTGGGCTCGCTGCCATTGCAGCGGTAAGTCCCCTCTTTGAGGAGTGGCTTGAGAGACGCTACGGCGTCCTCACCTACCGCCTGACGCAGGTCCTCACCGGACATGGAAGTTTCGGGAGGTACCTGTGTCTGATGGGGCGGGAGGAAACGCCCGGGTGTCATCACTGCGAGGACCGCCCTGAGGACACGGTGGAACACACTGTTGCGGAATGCCCTGCGTGGGCTGAGCACCGCCGTGCCCTCAGGGAAGTGATCGGCGATGGAGACCTCTCGCGTCCGGGCCTAGTTCAGGCCATGATGCGGAGCGAGGGGGATTGGGATGCCGTCTCCTCCTTTTGCGAAGCAGTCATGCTGGCTAAGGAGGAGGCGGGACGCGCGAGGCAGCGAAGCGCTGCCTCCTCGCAACCCAGCCATCGCGAAGGACACACCGGGCGTCGGGGATCGCGGGACGATCTCCGGCCACCGTAAGCGCGGGCCTGCGGACGGCGAGCATGGGTGGCTCCCCGTCCGACCAGAAACAGACCCGAGCGTACGGCGCGTCGCGTTCCGCGCGCGCCTCAAAGAGCCATCAGACCACCACAGATGGGGCCCAATAGGGCCGATGCCGATTCGGAGTCGCGGAGAACCTAACGGGTAACCGGGGCTCCGGCTCGACGTGCAGGAGAAGGAACGGGGTGGTTTTTAGTCAGTAAGAGTCTGACACTCCCTTCCGCCTCACCCAGGCGGGAGCAGTCATTCGATGATTTTCCCCCCTTAAAAAAAAAAAAAAAAAAAAAAAGTCTATACCTAGTTAAGTTTGCGTGATAAGAAAATAGTAAAACCTAGATAGAGTTAACCTTTATTAAACTTTGAAATAACTTAGCGATGAAATATTCCATCGCCAATAGGAAACTTCGTTTAGTTGATAAATATTTGTGTTTTCTTACGAAGCGTATCGCCGATTGATCTGGAGAGGGAAAATATTTTTTGAACGAACTCAGCGGCCATGTTTGTTCCACGATCTATCTCTGCTATGTTTTTATTATGTCCTCCGGTTATATATCTTGATCGAGCGAAACGTAAGGCTGTAAATATGTGTGTGTGCTTACAAAAAAGGTCATATAATCCTAGATTGATATTGATAGATATGTTGATAAGTACCTATGTTGTAGATTTATTGAGGAGCTAGTAGCTATCACATAAGACATAAAGAGTAACGAATGGAGTTCTTCTCCATTCGAATCTACATTTTGCAACGAACATCAAGCTTCACTGACGGATAGACTGACAGGCTACTATTTATTTTCTATGTATTTGTTGACATTTCAATAGTACCAAATTATGATTTAATTGGAATAAATGCGTTGACTATGGCTTTGACAAACACAGATCGTTACGATTATATATAACAAATACTTACGAATTTAAAAACTACACTACTTTGCATCAAAATGCCATACCCCACAGTTCACTGTTCTTCTAACTTTACTGCAATAAAATTCAAAACAAAACAATAAATATAGGAGCTGCATCGCTGAATGATCATTCACACCATCCCGCACCACAATCACGTACGAATGAAATATCTAGCGACATTTCTAGACTGAAATATATTCTAGAACCGTCTAGAACTATCATCTGTCGGCTAAACTACGAAATAGTACGTATCCAGTAGATAAACGTAAGATGTAATAAACATTGTGCAAAGCATTGTAGAAAATACTGAAGAATACATTATATTCAGTGGAGAAGTTAGTGGACTGTTGCAGAGAATTTTATTTGTGGGAAATTTTCCATTTTGTTCTTCTTCTTTTGAATTCTTAGATAGGCTTCAGTTTATATTTTAAAGCTCATATAACAAGAAGTCTTAATTTAAGTGCCTATTTCCACGCACACCGGACATTTTTCAGAGTATCAAGCATTATTTCGTGGTTCTGTGGCGAATTTTGGCAATCAATAACAGTTTTCTCAACTTGATATAGGCACCCAAAACGTCTCATAAGGCAGTGTAAGTAAAATCTATAATGGAATAATGTCAATCTAACTATTAATAAGTGGTGGTTCAAGATGGCATCACACCCTGCCTTGTGCCATAAAATTGTAACGAGTAAAGATAGCACGTAGTACAAGCTTGTCAAATCTATCTATCAATCTAAAATTGAAGTCTCAAGGTTAACAGTCGGTTCGCCGCTAGATTCAATACCCATTTAGCTTGTCAGTTTGAAAATACGTAGTCTATTATGATGGATCTATTGATGGGACGATAGATCGGTTTCAGTTTTTTCGTTTTCAACTTTGTTTGTAAGGCTTTTGAGTGCAATTTTGTATTTTCTAAGTTGCAGTTTCTAAGCTGTTATCACTTTGTCAGTTTAGAAACACCTCACTATGATACTTGAAACAATTCATCTCTTTGCTCGTGGACTTGTTATTTAAAATTCATGAACACAACCCAAGACCCCATTTCACCTTTAGTAGGTACGTCGCTAAAAATAAATCACAAGAAAAAAGCATAAGCGACTAAAATATAGAGATATATTTTGGGTGATAGATGTTAGAAATACAGTCGTTAAAAAAACTCCCAAGGCAACTGTCATGGCCGTTCTTGCGCGTGACCTGACACGCACTAATGAGAATAGGATGTCCCTTACTATTGTAACCTCCCACTCAAACCAGTTTTAATTTACCCTCTTTTATAAAGTCAAATAACATTATAGTTATTCGCAAACATTGAATTACATTATAGTTATTTCGAAATGTGAAAATATGTCAACGAAATATTTGCTTTCAATTTTCAGAACTTACAATAATATGTTACCAATTGTTGACATTTACGTGTTGAAGGCAGACGTGATTTATGATAAATATTTTACAGATCTATCTTGGGTAGAATGACAAAATGTCTATCTACATATTTACTCGTGCGATAGAACCGTCAAACAAGATGGCACCGAAATATGTTTATATTTTGTTAAATATAAACATATTTCGGTGCCATCTTGTTTGCCATGGAAGGGAAAATTACACACTTATCTTTGTTATTAAGCCTTATCTTATATTCGTTCCGATCTTTCTTCCTTTCAATGTAATCGATTCTGAGATCTTAAACGCTTCATATCTTGTGCGGAACCATTGTAACGATAGATATTGTAGGTATAGATACAACGTGGTTACAACACTATTCGTTCGGAGTCGCGACACGTCGGAAGGCCAAAGTTAATTCAGTGCGGAAACCTTAGCCAACAGCTAGACCTGGGATCGACGACCGGATACCATAATAAACCACTGTAAATATTCTCATTTCGCGACGACTATTAACTAAATCATCACACAAAATATAGGCCACGCTGACATTATTTTTATCAACTCGCACTCAATCGAATAAAAATCGATTTGTACGCGGAATCGTCTTCAAAGTAATCGCCATTTAAATATTAGATCTGTAAATCACCGAGCAGCTACTATTCTGAGTAGCGAATCGATTCAATTTCATTGATTTGTTTCGATTACATTGCATAACAAAATCGATTTGTGAATTTACTTGCAATAAACGCTGTTGACTGCGGAAAAATATATTTACGTACTTATTATTTCTGTTGCTCCGGCCAGTTTACTCTCATTGTCACGGCCGTTATCAGAGGTCGTCTTGAACGTCCGAAGACTACAATGTTAGCTCTATTTAACCTCTAGCGGCTCTAGCCAATGAAACCGAAAAACTGCTGTTCTAATTGATTTAACAAACGGTTATTTGTGTCGCTAATTATAACTTTAAAACGAAGTTATTTCAAGTATGTTTTTAAAATAAATTCTAATATTATTTTTCTCTTGTTCACAGTGATAACAAACATGCATATTGAAGTGCAAGTCGCCCTAAATTTCGTCATATCGTACCTGTACAACAAGTTACCAAGACGACGCGTCAACATCTTCGGTGAGGAGTTGGAGAAGGCGTTGAAGGACAAGTTCAGGGGGCACTGGTACCCCGATAGGCCGTGCAGAGGCTCGGCGTTCCGGTGCCTGAAAACGGGAGGCCCACTAGACCCCGTGCTGGAGAGAGCAGCGCGAGAATCAGGAGTCCCAGTACGAGATGTCCTTGAACACCTACCGCGGGATCTCGCCGTCTGGGTCGATCCAGGTGAGAATTATTCGTGCATAATCAGAACACTATAGCATGTAAATGCAGTTGAACAAACAAATTGCAACTTTAACGCTAAAACTTTGCTCCCATTGCAATACAAATCAAAAACATACACCGACCCAAATAAAGTTGTGCATTGAAAAGTTGAAAATGTTACCTACACAGGAAATTGTCCCTAGTTTTGCTGTGGGAAAATTTTGATAAACGTCACCAGCAATGAAGTTCTGACGTTATCCCAGCGTCGGTTCACTTGGCTCCATCGTTTGCCAAATGTGTGACGTCATACATTATCTATATAGACCAAGTTTTATCATCACTACTATGTCTGTTGTCAAGATAAGTACATAGTGCGCATATAATTACAATTCCTATTAGAGTAGTTTCAATTATGTCGCCATGGCAATATCCTGATGTTAATCTTGCCGCTGTATTTTTGGCCAAACATATTTCAAAGGCCAGACGAAAAGTAAATGAGAAATCACAATAGGATCTGTTTCCGAATGTAGCACAACAATAACATTACAAGCCGATGTCGGTATCTAAGTATAGGAAGGTATCTAATTGCAGTACCTAATAGCTGATAATTGTCATTAATTGGCTTTCATGCGTTTAGCGATAATGTGAAAGCATTCAGTGCAAACAACTCAATTATGTAGTGGTACCTAGTCGTTAAACTAAATAACAATGCAATTGTCGCAGTAGGCAGGGCCTTAGTGCCTAGTGCGCATAACTGATGGTGTATTGCATAACACGCAAAAAAAACGAGGTCGACAAACAGACAATTTATGCTCCGAGAGCGATAATAAAGATTGTTGTTAGATATGTCACTTGAATACAACAGGAACGTAGTATTCACAGTGAACTAGAAACAAGCCGTCAAAACTTACAAAAGTTAGACTGTTCTAGAAACAAATCAAAAAGTTAAGAACAAACCGAGTGAAACTGAATAACTTGTACAATCGAGACACTTTGGTAAAGCTTTATAAAAACATGGGAGCTCATGTGTGCTCAATGCGAAACCGATATCTCGAAATGAATCTTGAAAAAAGATCGAGACCAAAAGTAATGTAATTCCTGACACAATTTCACGAAGTAGAGTGCAGAGATTGGATAGCGAAAGAAATAAAGACGAGACTTGTCTTATGTTTCAGGCGAAGTATCATACCGCATTGGGGAAAAGGGCGCGGTGAAGGTGCTCTTCAGTAGCGACGAGCGAGCAGCCGACGAGAGGACTGATCGAGAGGTAAGAACAACATTCTAACTGACTAGACACATAAATTACTAGTACACGAACATTCATAAACAGTTCGTACCGAATGGAAACAACAATTTATAACATTTATTACTTCTGAAGACAATAGAATAAATTAGTACAGACTGTCTGGCTATGTTTTGGCAATAAAATACGTCAGGTGGCGCAACCCAGTTATCAATGATAAATCGTTCATGATGGTTCGTCTAAAGAGATTTCAAGACGTCAGTTTTTTTGGCTTTGTTCTAAAGATTCGTATCAAAGCCAAACCTTCGTTTACCTTTGTATACAATGGCCCAGTGGCCTACTCTTTCAAGATTAACAGCACTATCCAAAGGGCAACATCTATGTACTTATTTTAATATGGTTCTTTATATCAACTTGATAACAATCAGTATATCATTTAGATTGACTGCCGACCTATACTAATGAGTAATTTTCTATTTCAGGTTACTCGTGCGTTCAACCCTGAGGCGCAGTGCTTCCGGCCCGTTGAGCCAGCGGCGGCGCCATCACCCCCCGCGCCAGCTGCCTTCTCTCCAGCGCCACCCTTCCGGGCGCAACCTCTCACATTCACGACAGCGACTTTTGCGCAGACCAAGTTCGGAAGCACGAAGTTGAAGACGAGCAGCAAACGCGCGAACCGCATGTCTCCCACCGAGTTCAGCAACTACATCAAGCAGCGCGCGATGCAGCAGCAGCTGGCGGCGCGCGCGCTGTCGCCCGCCTCGGACCCCGCGGCGTACTTCGTCGCGCGGCGCGAGCCCGCCCCGTCCTCTGCGCCCCCGTACCCGCCAGCGCCGGCGCACCTGCTGCTCGCCAACTGAGCCGCGCATGCGCGCTAGCCGCACCGCGCGACCCGCTCATAGAGTCTTTACTTTTTTACGAGAGAGACGCGCGCCGCGATTTATTTTTTTATTTTCCGCGGGGGCGTCCCGCGCCGCCCGCCGCTTGTGATATCCGTACGATTTTCCATAACTTTTTGTATTCTCGTTCGTTACGTCGATGTGTAAATTTATCGATAGGAGCAATAATCTGCCGCGCGACTCGCCGGCGATTTATTTTCGTAATATTTAATGCTGAGTCAAGTTTTTGATGTCTTCGTTCGATATCGATATATTCGTAGGGTGTAAGGGAGCGAGAGGCCGACTGGCCGCGTGCGCTTACGACGACGTACCTTCTAGAGCGAGCCTGTATACATACGTCCTCCGACTAAGAAAAATACTGATATTTAAATATGTATACATAATATATATTCGTACGCGATAATCGTCTAATTTTTCACGTGGAAACGAGGCCAATAGAGAAATTACGTATTTTTAATATTGAAATTGATAAATAATTCATACTTACTATTATAGTGTACTAGTACCTACGTATTGTACTCGTACGTCGTAACTCGTAATAAATAATTGCATATCCGGTGGGACGTGGTCGGACGGCGGCGGGCCGCCCGAAGGCGTCGGAGATCTCACAAATAGTGATAATGAGCATCACTCGTACGATTGTGTACCCTTGTAATAATAATTATTATAATACTATACATAATATATAATAGGTTTAGCTACGTTTCAATCTAACAGTATTTTTTTAAGAAGATATTAGTCCTTGTGTACATTTGCCGGTCGACCGCGTCGCGGCGCCCGGCCTTAGCGTGTATGGTATACTTATATTGTTATAAAAGACATGAATATGGATAAATGATAGAAAAAATATTTCTCAATTCAAATTAAGAATAACGGGTGCATGCAAATTCATAAATAAATACTATGTGTTATTTATCTTTTTTATATTTCACTTGGCGGTCGGTGCAGTTTTTCAATGGTCAGTAGAGTATGTGCAGTGGTAGGCATGCTAGTGGTGTATCAGTGCGCACTGCACGCCCGCGTTCCATGCACAACACTCACATTTTGTACCTAAACTGATATGTACAACTATTTTTTACTATTTTTATATTTTGATTTAGAATTAAGCCTAGTTGTATGGTTTCAACCTTAACGTGTACTTTATTAACGCCCTATTATTAAATTATTACGTAATAATATGTAATAATATCGGTGATTACGATTGTCGATTGAGAAACTGACCGAAATGCTACAGTATTTTGTAGATAAAATCTATAATGTAAGTTTAATAATAATACAACATAGCGTAAAGAGATTTTTTATTATAAAGATACTTTTTATTTTTCTTTCTTTTGTAAGATATATTCGATGGAAGTGTTAAAGATAATATAATATTTGCATAATATAGTAAATGCGGCTCTCCATGTCCGCTAATATAATTAGTCAATAATAATTTTTCATATTGTTGTACGACTTTTTAAGTTTATATTAAAATGTTTTGTGCAATCTATTCTGAGTCTTATTACAACCCATTACAGTACCCACAATCGAATAATGGAATTATTCTGAAGTTCTAAAAGCTCTACATGAGACGAAAGAAGAAAACAGGCGAGAAGATATATTGCTTATATCCAAACAGTTACCCAGCATCACTACAAAACGCCTCATCCAAACAAAAAAGTATAAAATGAAAAATTCTGTGAACGTAACTTTTGCACCTGTCTGTGCAAATGTCCATAACCATTGACAGGTGCAATATTTGCTCTGTGTGCACAGGTGCATTGCTCATAATTATGTCGGTATTAAAATAAAATAAGGTATCAGAATATAAAAATTAAAGACATAAATAATAATCATTAAGTCACTTTATTATCAAACCACAAAGATGACAAAAGTGTACCTCATCTATGGACAATATTCACATTCATTACAGACGCCGTCAAGTACAAAAATATTTATGCAATAATGAACCTTATGGCTTTAATACTCTTACAATAAAACACAAAATATCCTAAAACGATAATACGAATAGAGGAATAAAAATCCAGATGACCATTTCATATTAATTGATTTGAATACAATGTCTGTGCTTTGGTCTAAGACAAAAGATTTAAAATTGGTCAATTAGATTAACCAACCGTCTTACTACTAGTTAACAAATTAATGTAAAAGTTTATTTAAAGAATAGAGGAGACACAATGCAGTAAAAAATAAACCTATTCGCTCGGCAGTTTGCAGTAAATCCATCTTTATATTTCACGGCGTCCCAACCAATGATCAGCAATTGACTATTTTCATTAACAAATTTTAACTTTTTCATATAAAATCGTACTCAATCCAGGAAGGAAACCTTACTTCATATCACTTAATTTGTACATCACTCGAGAAATGCGAAGTTATCAAAAACACCGAAGGAACACAGCTTGATTGCTTCAACATACAAGTCATTCAATTATTTCTGCTCAAATTGATTATTTACTTATTTACACTGCAAAGTAATATGGTAGAGGACTGATAAACTAAATATTTTGAATAATATAATCATGATTCAGATCGTGATTAAAAAATTTAATACCGTATTTTATCGTCGACGCTAATATCACTACTACAAACTAAATATGAAATATATAAATTCCATCATTATTTTGAAGTATATATTTACAGTGTACAATTTAAAGATACACTTTAATTTACAGGAACATTTTAATATCTATTAAGAATTTATGATATAATTATATCCAGTTATCATTAAGAAAACGGAAGATATATATATTTTGGCACTGGTCGACAGTGGGAACAGAACTCTATGTGTAAAAGTATAAAGACGTTATTAACAATATCCAAAGTCTTAGATGAATCCTTAAGTCTTACTTTACAAATATTTCCAGATTTTAGGCCTTTATCACCTACCTACCTACTGTTACAAAATTATATTTGTCACCATAGATGAGGCGATATGCCCTTAGTGGTTCACATAGAATATATATTAAAATTACTAAAAATAATCAGTACATTTTAGTGAAACAGAAATGACCTTACCATATTATACCAAATCAATAACTCATTAAATCCCAAATTACAATTAAAATAACTATTTAATATTTACAAAATAAGCAACTAACGTAATTTAAAGAAAAACGCCTATGACCATAATATTTGTCGATTTTAAAAATAATCATACATAATAAGAAACAAATTCCTACACACATAAACACTGTTTGACTGATTTTGACTATGTTCCACAATTTTGGCCCGTTATTCCAATATTCAAAAATAGAATAGTTTACTATCATTATTTACTTAATTATCATAATTTATTTAGTAAATCATGATAAGTACTTACGCTACTACAGACATTAGTGTCCAAGTGAGTCCACATAACTATTACATCAAGTCGAATCTGTAACAGTCTTCATATCACTATGGACAGAATAGTAATAATAAATAACACAATTCGTGAGCAAAGGCTTTACGAGAACAAACAAAGACGAAAATAAATCTTGGTTCTCATTCCAAATCAATAGGAGAAATTACATCGTCCAAGGGCGACAGAACAATATCAGATCGTTCCTATACAGCCGAGCTGTGACAATATTGTGCCTGTATAGAACAAATGTATGTACAATGTAAAGCCGTTGGTATCAAACATACTGACACCACAAAAGAAAAAAGAAATTAAAATTACGAGTAGTAGAAACGCGTTACGGTTTCATTTAACTTTAATAATTATTTTATCCTATTCACGAGACATCGCTCGTCTCAGCCGAAGATCAGTGAGCCATTTCGATGTGCCGCTGTAAGCTCTTTTTGTTCATATAAAACCTATCGCACATGGCACACGGGAAAAAAACTTTTTCGTTGTCGGCGTGTCGCGCACGTGTGTGCGACGACAAGTCCAGCGCTCGAGCGAAATACACTTTACAAATATTACAGAAGAATTTGGTGGGTGTGGCATGCATAGTGCGGTGGGCGATGAGGTCTCGGGGAGTGGCCACGCCATCACCACATTGTGCACAAGTGAATTCTCCTGGTGGAGGCACAGGAACATTTCCGTCGTCACTCTCTTCCGCAGATTCTTCTTCTTCACCATGATGCCTCGCTCGATGCGCTCTCAACGCTTCATCACTATCATACTGGGCGCCACACAAATCACAAGAGAACATATCATCGTCCCCTTGGCCCGTGGCCGAAGAACTACCTTCACCACTCTCATAATGCTTCTTCATATGAATAAGCAACGTCGACTTTCTTGTAAAGCTCTTATCACAGACCGGACAAAATACAGAATTAGGTTGATGCACCTCATCCATGTGACGTTGGTATGCCGCCCGTTTCGTAAACTCTTTGTCACAAATCGTACAGTACCTATCCTCAATGGAACCAGAGTTTTGCGTATCCATGTCCACTGAGTCATCTGATCGTAATTTCTTATTCGGGTTCACAACTGTTACTTCCACTTCTGGCGGTAGCCTTCTTTTAGCAACACTTGCACTCACAGGTGTTGAGGTATGTGTGACCTTAGCAAGTTGTGAAGGATCAATAACTTCATGTTTGCTTATTTTACTAGTTACTTTGTGCTGAGGCATCCAAAGTCCAGAATTGTTGGCAGCTGCTTTACCATCAGGCGAACGTAAATGCCAACCACGATGACTTTTTAGTGCAGAAATTGATGTATAACTCTTATGACAAATCTCACAGTCAAATGTCTGCGGCTGAGCAGGAAGTTGGTTGATACATTGGTGGTTTTGTAATGCTAACAAACCAACAAATTGTTTGCCGCACGTGTCACACGGGTATCGCGCCTGATAATCAACACTAGGATCTGCAGATTCCTGATCATTTTCATAATCAGGTTCTACTTCTTGAGGTATATCTTGAGATTTACTGGAACCTTGATTAGCGTTGTAACCCAACAGTTCTCTGGCGTGCGCAGCTTTCAAATGTTCATATAATTCTAAGGTTGAAGTTAGAGGTTTACCACATATTTTGCACATTTGAACTGTAGATTTGTGAACATTTTTTCGGTGGCGATAATAAGATTTCTTATCGGAAAATGTGATTCTACATATAGTGCAGCTAGACCTACTACTGCCTTCTCCGCCGCTAGCCGATGGAGTCGTAGTGTCATTGCTACCACTAGTACCAGGATTTACGATTCCGTGTTTAGCACGCTTGTGTTTCCACAAACTGGTCTTAAGTGGGAAACGTTTGAAGCACAGTTCACACGAGTATGGCATTGTTTCTGTATTTGATTGTTGTACATTGTTCGGGAAATTTGTGAAATTAAAACTATTAAATTGAGGCGTAGATAGAATGGCACCGTTCTCGTCTGGGTTGAATTCCTCCTCTTCCGTGGAAGCTTGCATGGTATTCTCTTCACTATCATGTCTATCAGCCAAAATATCAGCATGCAAAACTTTCTTATGTTTCCAAATATTCTTCTTGTGCATGAATCCTTTCCCACAAATGTCACAAGAGTATGGAGCGTTAGGAATATTGTAATTAGGTTTAAACCATGAAAATCCAGGTTGAGCCACCGGATATTGCTTGATGGGCTTAACAACAATTTGAGGTGCCGAGCCCTTAACTATACCTGGCTTTCTGTTAGTAGTAGGTACTTTAGCGTGAATGCGCATATGATTTGAATAAGCCTGTCGGCTTTTGAACGATCTTATGCAGATATCGCAGAAGAATTCGGCCTCTGTGGGTACAACCGGACCGAGACCTGCATGTGCTTCTTGCACGTGTTCAGAGAGTTTCTGCGGAGTGCCGTAAGAGTTCGGACACACACTGCAGGGGTAGAATTTAACCCGCAAGTGAGTGTTCTTATGCTCTGCCAGCTCTGAGGGACGTAGGAACTTCTTCTCACATTGGTCGCAATGGTGGGCAATTTGATTATGTTCTGCCACTTGATGGTCTGTCCATGCATCGACAGTTTCGAAAATAGCGTTACATTCTGTGCACGAGTAGTGATACTCTTCTGCTTCTTCCTTCACAATAGACATGTCTGGTTCAGCAACCATGCCTAAAGTTCTATCAGAATGCTCCATGTAAATGTGTTTATTCAGATCTGTAGCTTGTTCAAATTTAGCATCACAATGCTGACAATAATGAGGCTTCTCTTCACTGTGTATTATCTTCAAATGTTTCACTAAATTAGGATAGCTACTGTTTTTCTTTCCACATAGTGGACAGTCAGTTGGTCGGCCATCCACACATTTGCTCTGGTTATCAGATTGATCGAAACTGCCAGCATGAACGGCTAAAGCGTGATCGTTAAAGTCCTGCATGTTCACGAACTTTTCCGAACACAAGTCGCACGCTACATAAACTGTGCAATCGCCTTTACGGATGTGTTTTTTAAGTAAACTTTTATCTTTGAATCTAGCACGGCAGTGGACACAGGTAAGCGGCACCCGGGATTGTCCATCTTCATGAGTATCTAAGACATGCTTCATAATAAACTGTTTAAGCTGGAATTTGGCTGGGCAAAGCTTGCAGGCGTAAGATCTGGCGTTAAAGATATCTTTGTATTGGACCTTGACTTCTTTAGGTTCGTCTTCCAGTACTTGATCGTCTGTGATACCATTTTCATCGTAAATAATCTTCCACAAGTTAGTGCACGTATTCGACCTCATATGGCTTAGCAAGGCACCGATATGTCCGAACGTGATGACACAATTGTAACAAGTATGTTTGGGCACTTTGTGTCCGTTCTTTTGTAAATGTTGTATAACGGCTTTCCTACGTGGATGTTCACGGTCGCAACATAAACAACGTTTCGTGTTAATTTGTTGAATGATGTCACGATATTTCTGGATGAAATCTCTTTGAGTTTTTGTAACATAGGTCTTGTCAGGATCAAGTACTTTGGGCTCGGGCTCTTCATCGTCAAGGGTCTCATTGGGGTCGGCTGTCTCATCAAGTTCTTCGTCATCTTCGTTGACTTCACTATTAAACGAATTACCTTGAATTCCTTCATTAATTTCAACGACGGGTGCCAATGACATTGGAAGGTCATCATCATCTTCCTCTTCGTTCTCATTATGATTCATTTCAGATTCCTCGTGTTCTCCATCTTCTTGACCCTCATCATCCTTCATATCACCTTCAGTTTCAGGTTTAACATCCATACTGTCCTCCTCTTCCATGTTCTCTTGACTTTCTACTGTGTCGTCATTGCCATCTTTTTCGTTGTCGCTTTGACCTCCTTCCATATTGTTGTCATCGTCACCTTGCTCGATATTATCTTCTCCGTCAACATTGTCTTCACCATCTTGCTCCATTCCTTGTTGACGAGCAATTTCTATTTCGTTTTCAGAATCCATATCAACAGTATCATAATTTTGACTTTGATTGTTCATATCTTCATCGCCTTCTTCGTCGCCCTGCTGTACATCTTGTGGGTCGTATGCATCAGCGTCCGGCTCAGTCAGAATAGCTTCGACTTGGAAAGATGCTATTTCTGGCTCAGAAATCAGTGTCTCCGGACTTTCAGGACCAGAATTAAGAATTTCTGGTTCGGAAACCAAAACTTCAGGTTTCGAGGTTAACAAGGTCTTTAGAATTTGTGGTTCCTTTTTCTTAGTTTGTAAATCTTTGAGCGCTTTAATACGTAATGGATAAGGCAAATTATTTGGCGTCGTTTTTAACGTCTTTATTGGAATGGGTTTCTGAGGCTTTATAACTTTGTTTGCCGGCACAATTTTGGCCGGGATGTTTTTGTTTAAAAATTGCATCTTATGACTAATAGGATTCGGCATCATCCGTGCTTTGGGATTGAATGGGTTTGGTCTGAGTTTGGGTTGTAGATGAGTGAGTGTTTTCTTGGGCGTAATTTTGTTTGTATATCTGTCGAAGCTATGAGCGGTAAGTTCATGTCGACGAGCATTATGAGAGTATCTATATGAGCGACCACAGACTAGACAGTCTTTTGAGGCTAACTGGTGAATACCTTGACGGGCATGCAGGGTTTCGCCGGTAGGCCTCATGACTGTGATAGACACCTCCGGCATATGCGGCACTTTCGGGTATGTCTGTGCAGGTTCAGGTTCATTAGTTTCTTCCTCGTCTTCGTCATTATTCTCACTCTCCGCACCCTGGAATTGATGGTAAAATGGAAAATAATTAACAAAAATATTAACTATAAAGAAATTTTATTGCACTCCAATACAAGATATCATCAAGTAATCATTTACATGAAAAATACTATGAATAACACAGGTTATTTTCAACTTTTAATGTGACACTTCAAACTAAAATAATAAAAATATTAAACTTAGATAACTATAAGTAATTTTTAATCCAACCATAAAATAAAAGAAACACGCCATATTACCCTCAACGTCATTTTAGAACAAAGTTTTATTACAAAATAGTTCTAAATTATACAATTTTGAAAACATAGAATTAAATAAGCAAAACATATTCCATAACTTTCATAATTCAAGTAACATTTTAAAATGTATTTTAACTTCCACACATAGTGCATATACTAACGGAATGCTCTTTACAAATAAATTGACCGCATTTGACACAGAACTGTCTGGTTCTCCTATCTTTCTTAGTTGTTCTCACACATATTTTACACCTTCTCCTGTTCTTATAATAAGGCTGAATAGTATTTGACACAAGAGAAAATGTATTTCTATTCTCCTCTACATTCACAATTGGTGAAATGAAAATTCTATCATCCTCCGAGTCAAATAGACTTAGAGCCAAATCTTTGATGAACAGGCGGCGCTGGGTAATATGGTTGTTTTGGGAGCACCACAGGACCTGAGCATTAACAGTGGCAATATTTAGCAACGTAAAGAATATGGACAATGTCCAGTCATTAGTGTGTTGCATGGTTGTATAGTAATGCATGAGAACATCAACTACTTCTACCGCAGACTGATTCTTCTTGTATACTGACACCACTGTAGTATGATTAATATGACCTTTCTTGTAATACTTGGGCACATTAGTCAACACATTAATGGATTTCCCTTCAGTGTTCACATAGGATGTAAGTGACACTTCATCATCAACAAAGCCAGACATAAATGTTCTACATTTCCTGTACCGAGAGAGAAATAGAGGTGGTATCATATCACTGTTTGGGTTCAAGGCCGCGATAGAATATAACTGATACTCATTTCTAAGGTTATCAATTAAAGAGGGTGACGTAAACCAACTGTCCATCACAATAGATCTTCCAGTTCCGGCTAAATGCTGAACCAACTTTTTCGTCATTTCTTCGGGTCCAAAATAAGAATCCGTTATGACATCCAAATTGCTCACGTAGAATGATGATGAGTCAACTAGCAAGACCATTTTTATACCCCGCTTCAGTGGTTTCTTATCAATATCATATCGAAATGGGCAAGGTCCATAAACTGGCACGATGATCTCATCAATAACCGCAATATTCTCGATCTCATAAGATGTTCTGCAATTCATGGCGAAGATCTCGAACACTTTACGCATACGCTTCATTATATCGTACTGTGTAATCGAGTCACCGTCCTTCTTATCGAAGCTGATGTTTTGTAGCAGAAATTTAAACCTTTCATATTTCATGACATTTCTGATGCAAGGGACACCACAATCACTATTCCAAAGGTCACTGCATTTCGGATGTGTTGGTCGCAATATGCCGTGCAAGTACAGTATACCAATAAGCGTCTTAATTTCGCTGGCAGTAGTCGACTCTGAGAAACCCCTACCATTTGCAACAATATTTTCATTAGTAGAAGCGACAATCAATTCTAGTAGGTCATCGGTGAATAACAATTGCCACGCATTTTTAGGTCGTGAACAATGTTTACTGGCCGTTGGTTTACGTTTCCCGAGTTTAAAAGCTTCTTTGATTCTGGCATTATTTACAGCAGTTGATAGTTTTGGTGCTTTAGCAATAACTTGTTTATTCTTGCAAATGTAACCAGTTTTGCAATCAACATAATCATCATCAATTTCTTGTTGAAGTTCAGTTTCCGTGTCAGAATCATGGTCAGAATGTTGCAAAACATCACATTCCTCTTTTTTCTGTAGGGAATCTATCACCTCATTGTCTTGAACCATGTCCAAAATTGCATGAACCCGATGCCAATCCATTCGGGGATCCACACAGGTCTGCGGATGAAATTAACTCAATTGAACTATTCTCCTACTGGTACTCGTTACAATTTAAATACTACAACATTGTATTACAAACTCACTATTAATGAAAATAAAGTACAATATTGTATAAATAAAATACAATAAAAGAATATTGAAGTGTCATATTAAAATGGAAGTTGTGATATAAACAAGCGTGTGTTACTTATTCAGTGATAAACTATATTGGGCATGTAATCTGTACCTTATCACTTCTTGGTGTGAGCCCCAACGAAGCCAAGATTGGGGGACCTTCAGGTTGCACTTTGTTTGACAGGCCAGCATTCTGAAATTTAAATGTTTTTATTAAAAATTTTATGTTTATAAATGTTTTTTTTATTCTTCCGTGGCACAACATGACAAAGATCCATGACAAGTTTATAAGTTGTTACATTAAGAAATTTGTATGAAGAATAGAGAATAATTTAAAAAAAAACCAATAAGATTTCATCACTAATGTTTATGAGTAAACATTACAAAGTAAGATACAGACTGCATTATAGTAACACTGAAAGAGTGTTAAAGTTACATAAAAACCAGTATGTTTTATGTTATGTAATTAATGGGAATATGGATTAAGTGAACAATTCAATAAAAACATTATGAAGCTACAACATAACCAGTTCCCTTGGCTGGGTCAAACAAGGAAAACTGAGCAACAACAAAAATTTATTTAAGACCTATGACCACTGCATTCATAGCCAACTCATTATCACTAACACAAGTTCCCTGTCTATAATTTACTTGACAACTGTTCAAATGTCCTTGACACCAATGTGTAGCCAAGTCTTAGTACAAGTATGTAGACCAGAGCAGAAGTACTCGCAAACAACAGCCCTGGTAGATAACAGCATTTATCATGCCAACAACTATGCTGACTCATACATACCTCAATGACAGGATATGAGCCATCAATGACCACTCCATCATCATAAGCCTCATCAGATAATGGTTCACTCTTTATTTTCACCTGAAAATACATAATTCCACCATAAAACAACAGAATCTCAAAATGCTAACTGACAGTTCCAAGCTCAAATATCCAGAAAGATAAACCCACCTCTTCTAGTTGGCTGCCATCTTTTAGAGACTGTAGTTTGTTTTGTGTCCTTTCACAAACAGTTTTAAATACATGCCAGTTATTGACATTGTCCATACACTTCCTGCAGACATTAGTGGGCAGATCGTCATTTTCGTTTATCTGAAAAAACAATCATACGTAATCATCGCACGATGGGCAAATAGGCGCTCTCCACGACGCGCTCGTTTCATCAGAACGAACGAGGCGAAACCGCGCCTCGTGTATAGATAGCTACGCGAGGAGAAACTAAGTAGGTAGGCGTAGGTATAACCGAGCGCCGGCGAGCGGCTACTCCTCGACCGAATAAGTAGAAGCGAGTCGAGTGGCAGCCAGCGAGCCCCTCGAGGGTTAGCGCTCGATATACGCACACAAGTATAGCGCACTCACGCCAACACCGACGCTCGACCCGTCCGAGGACGAGCTGCAGGCTGGTCTCGTCCGATAAATCAATACACCCGACGGCCAAGCCAACGCAAGCCATGCCTAGCGATACGCAGCCCCCTCCCGATATGACCCCCGGGAATAATGCCAACCCGACCCTCATGATACGCGCCATTCCTCGCCGGCTGCACGGAATGCGACGCGCCGCGGCCACGAGCCGAGCGATAGCCGTGGAACATTACAAAATGGTGGACGATCTTACGACATCTCCACCTAAACGCGCTGCCTGTCATTGCTCGTATCGAGGCGGATGACGAGTTCTCACGTATACCGAGGGTCTACTTTCACTCAAAACTGCACTGTATCACTTATTTTACACAATACATACCTGAATGGACACACAATCCTTGATTTTCAAAGCGAGGACGGGAGGTTCCGAGTCATCGGAACTGGTGGTAGGAAAAATCGGCAGTAATTCGCCTCTAGATGACAAGCACAGTCTACAAACACGATCATAGTTCACATTCATTGTAAATAAACGATATTTTGCACGTATTAACACCTTCCACAATCTTTAAAAAAAGGACGCCATGTCACCACGAGCACTTGAACACAAAGCACTGCACATCGTTCTTGCTAGAGCACGAAAGCGGCTGATGATGAGGATGAGAAGTCGATAGGTTCGGTCGGGACGGCTGGTTCGAGTCGGCGACCACCTGTCGTTCTGCGCATGTGCGCGTAAAATTGCCTCAGGGTGGCCAACATCAGAAACACAAAATGTTGATAATTTCAGAGATTATAAACATTCACACTGATGTTCTTGTATCTAATAAAAACATTAATTGTACACAGTCACTGTTCGTGTTTACTTTAAAATGGAATGGGATTTCAATTTAAATTAAATGACATTTTCTTCCTATTTAGTAATTTAAACGATTTTGATACACATTTTTTTAATAGCATGGTTATATGTTTGGGAGCTGAGTCGAGATGCACAAATATTTCAGTAAAAAGTTTACTTTACACTTTATTAAGTTATACAGGTTAGCCGAAGGCCGAGCGCAACGGCATAGAGACGCGCGCGCACCCGTTACTGGTCTTCGAATACCACCGGCCGGCTGCCATAGGCACTTGCTGGCGCCCCCCGCGCTGCTTATTCTCCACTCCTCTCGTTCCCCGCGGCTCTCCGTTGGCGACGCCTATCAGTCCGTGTTGCGCGTGTACCCTTATAATGTGTTAGTTTTAGTGTTTTTTATAAATTTCACAATATTTTTAAATTAATTAATACGACTTTTTAAACAATTCTAATTAAACTAATTACTATGACAATATTTTTTGTATGTTGATAAAACTGACTCTTTACTTAATATTGAATGTTTTTCTAACAATAAATCTTTGTTTCTCTTTGTTTCTAAATTAAATCTGCCAATTACATATATTAATATAACCTAATTTATCACAGACTGAAATACGTGGTAATTTTTATTAACCTTCAAAATGTTTAAAGTCCCTGCCATATGAAACAAAAGTATCCCTTTCTCTTTCTAAACCAGTACAGCCAAAGCGGCAAATTTAAACTTCGGAGAACTTCGTTCATTGTTCGTAATGGCGCGAGACTACAAAACTCAGACCGTTGTTTATTATTGTTTTAATTTCTTTGTTTCTGGAAGATAACGATAGTTAAATGACATTATTAATAATATCTACGATTATATTTCTATAAAATAATAAGATTTGACAGGGTTTATTCCATTTAAGTCATTCAAAAACATAAAACAACGTTGTAAGTTATCGGGTCGAGGTAGCTCACACGTAGTGCCAACTTTATGGGTATCTAATAAACAAACAAAATAGAAAGAAATTAGTTTAGTCCATTCATAAATGGTGGGGAGAGTTGGGGGAGAGCAAAATAATGAATGAAAACGTAAAATGTGATTTTACTACACGTCACGTATTAAACGAAAATAACATGAAATTGAGTCATTGACCTACGGAAATACCTATTCTAGATTATGATGTCATACTACTAATAGTTAAGAGAATACAGTAAAAGATGAAATGGTTTTCAGTCGGGTTACATTTTACGGTTATTTTTTTTAAATATAGGAGTATAGGACTACTTAAGTAGGTAATAAAAATATGCTTTTAATATCTACCTAGGTGGTAAACTTAATACGTACCAAATAAAATAAATACCACGCTCTCTAAGTTGCTTTTCTAACAAACAGAATTGAACTAATGTTGAATCCACAATTCATCAGTAAATTACCACCGAATGGGATACAAGGTGTTTGTTTAGACTTTAGAGAGTGTACGGATTTGACCTATTGTTTAGCGGTGGTCGTTTCTTACAACAATGGGTTTGGGCTTGAACTGATAGCATAGCAAAATTGACCAGAGACTTTAGACTTTACTTACCAAAATAACATTCTTTGTATTAGGTGGTACCTGGTATTTTACGTGGTAGTTTCTGGAGCTGAGAGTTCCTCTCTCTCTCATCGTGTTGATTTAGGTATTTCTGTCTTGTTGGTCGAGGTCGGCTCGTACATTACATAGTACCTACCTGATCGGCTGTGGTCGAGGTGTGTCAAGCAAAAGATGTCGTTCAGGTAGGGCAAACAATGATGTTTTAAGTAAGGAGGTGTAGATAGGTTATAAGCGCCCAGAAACTTGCACAAGTTGTGGATAATCAGAGTTGCGTTGCGCTGTCAACGTCAACGCTATCGCTTTGTATCGAATGTTTTTTGGGTAACCTATTTACACCTACCTTTTATAACATCATTGGGGGCAAAGTTTATTGGGATTTCCTGTTTTCAAAGATTCTTAGGTTGGTACTCACTCAGTACTCGGCACACTTACTCCCTTATAGCCTAGAGGTATTGCTATGGCTATGCGCCATTGTTCGATCCCTATTATCATGGACAGGTAGACGTACCATGGAATTTTATGGCGTAGGTAGTAGGCGACTGGTAGAAAGGAAGTGTTTCACTGGATCTCCATTGTTTCATGCAGGTTTTTGTTCTGTTGATCCTCGAACTGAAGCTTTTCAATACTCGATTAGACAGAAAGACTGATACGATGGTCAATGTTCTCAGTAGGTACAGGTACGTACCTAGGTAGGTTTATATTGATCATAACTGACACAGAATCAGGATGCAGCTACTAAGTAGGTACCGATCGAATATCTACATTACTTACTGAGAGGTAAAGTAGGTACCTCTCAGTAGATCATCTTATGCTTATGCTTATATATGAATGAATATGAATAGTAATTTTATTTCCTTCTTATCTTATAACTGGAACCCAGGTAGCTTGCACACTATCGATTCAGTACCTAAATAAGTAAGTAGGTATAACCATAACCTGAGAGGTAAAGTAGGTACTTTACCTCTTAGTAGATCATCTTATGCTTATGCTTATATATAAATATGAATTTTATTTCCTTCTTATAACTGTGACCCAGGTAGCTTGCACATCATCGATTCAGTCCCTAAATAAGTAAGTAGATATAACCATACCTAGCTTAAAAAATTGTGCAACAAAATTAGTTTAGTTGGTACAATTTTTGAGTCCATCGAGTCGTCATGTTCCCTCAACCTCGAGACACACGCCGTTGCGTCCCTATTCAAAGGGACCGTTAATGTGGTAGTCGGTCCCCCTTCAACCGGATCTCGTTGAAACGTGTCTTAAGGGCGCATTGTTCCCTGTCCTAACGTTCTATAAAGACGAATTTAATGACAGAGCATGTATTGTAAATCTATTACACATAAATACCTCCTCATTTCGGTAAATGGCACGAGAATCCTAATCTGTTTCCGTAGTCAATACTGGCTGATAATAAGTCGTTTGCCCTAATTAAAATTATAAACCAGTGCTTTGTTAGTCTTGTTCAGGTTTTATTGAGATTTTTGGTCGTGGAATTCTGAGTAAGTGGCATAGAATTGGGTACCTGGATTAGGTAGTGTATGGGATTGTCGTTGACTAAATGAAAGGCGCCCGACTGAAGTTCAAAATCGATCAGAGGGCTTACTCTTGAATTCAATTATTCCGATCAGTCGACTTTGGTAGGTATTGTAAAATTTCGTACTCTTGAGTTGCATTGCACATATTATGTAATCGGTATTGCCTGGATATTTAATTAACTTAATGGTATAACTCAATGCATCTACGAAAGGGGTTGTATAGTTTGACATTGAATAATTATTGAGATTTTATTGGATTGAAATTGCATTGACATTGAGATTGGTTTCAAGAGAAAGCACCCAGGTTACAATGTAATTAGGAAGTAGTGTACGCTGCTCGCACATTGTATTTTCTGATTATATTTATTCACCACACCATTAATTAGTTGATTTACCACCTTCATGCACAGTAAAACTAAAAATATATCTAGGTGCTTGAGTTTCTAAGGTCGTCGACCAGTAGTGGGCCAGTATCAAATCTCGATCTTCCGCCCTGAGAAAGCTCCTGATAGCTGAGTACTTATAACATAACATCACGCCTTTTATCCCCGAAGGGGTAGGCAGAGGTGTACATTATGCCACTGTACGATGTGACACCCACTTGTCACTATTTATTTGTTATGCGCCCCATGTAATAGAGGGTGAGCCTATTGCCATATACCGGGCACAATTGCAGTCTACGTGCAACTACCTACTGAGAATGTTTTAAAAACCCAGTAATACGTTGCCCGACTCGGGAATCGAACCCGAAACCCTTTGCCCGGCAGTCGCACTTGCGACCACTCGGCCAATAAGGCAGCCAACTTATATTAAGGTGCAAATGAAACAAAGAAATGAATTCAATTTTGAGGCAGCCTGAGTACTTATATTAAAGGTGCAAATGAAACAAACAAATTAATTCAATTGCATTTATTTATTATTTTCTGCACAAGCAACATCCAATGTCACACAACATTTAAACAAAATTTGCAACGACAATATAATTTTACAATACTTTACAAGTAGGTAAGGTTTTTGTTTGATAGAATTTTTATCATACATTTTTAACACACAGTGAAATTACAGTTGGAGTTTGGAGTAAACAACAAGTGGAGTTTGAAAGTATTTTGAAGTAATTTTTACACACAAGGTACTACAAGATTTTCAATAGTTGGCAACATGAGTATGTGAAAGATATTGTCTAGTTTGTAACCAATAACCATACAAGTACTTAAATCAAGGAGAATACAGGCTAGACCACAGGTTTGTTTTTTAAGGGGGAAAATCATCGAATTACTTCTCCCGCCTGAGTGAGGCGGGAGGAAGAGTCAGAGTCTTACTGACTAAAAACCACCCCGTTCCTACTCCTGCACTTCGAGCCGGAGCCCCGGTTACCCGTTAGATTCTCCGCGACACCTATAACTATGATACGTAGCAGACGTGCAGGAGAAGGGACGGGGTGGTTTTTAGTCAGTAAGAGTCTGACACCCCCTCCCGTCTCACCCAGGCGGGAGCAGTCATTCGATGATTTTCCCCCCTTAAAAAAATCATAGTTATAGGTATTTTTTTTTTTAAGGGGGAAAATCATCGAATGACTGCCCCCGCCTGGGTGAGGCGGGAGGGAGTGTCAGACTCTTACTGACTAAAAACCACCCCGTTCCTTCTCCTGCACGTCGAGCCGGAGCCCCGGTTACCCGTTAGGTTCTCCGCGACTCCGAATCGGCATCGGCCCTATTGGACCCCATCTGTGGTGGTCTGATGGCTCTTTGAGGCGCGCGCGGAACGCGACGCGCCGTACGCTCGGGTCTGTTTCTGGTCGGACGGGGAGCCACCCATGCTCGCCGTCCGCAGGCCCGCGCTTACGGTGGCCGGAGATCGTCCCGCGATCCCCGACGCCCGGTGTGTCCTTCGCGATGGCTGGGTTGCGAGGAGGCAGCGCTTCGCTGCCTCACGCGTCCCGCCTCCTCCTTAGCTAGCATGACTGCTTCGCAAAAGGAGGAGACGGCATCCCAATCCCCCTCGCTCCGCATCATGGCCTGCACTAGGCCCGGACGCGAGAGGTCGCCATCGCCGATCACTTCCCTGAGGACACGGCGGTGCTCAGCCCACGAAGGGCATTCTCCCACCGTGTGTTCCACCGTGTCCTCAGGGCGGTCCTCGCAGTGATGACACCCGGGCGTTTCCTCCCGCCCCATCAGACACAGGTACCTCCCGAAACTGCCATGTCCGGTGAGGACCTGCGTCAGGCGGTAGGTGAGGACGCCGTAGCGTCTCTCAAGCCACTCCTCAAAGAGGGGACTTACCGCTGCAATGGCAGCGAGCCCAGCCCTCGGTTGCGACAGTCGTTGCTGCCATTCCGCCATGAGATCGCGCCGGAGCTCATCCCGCCACGCGCGCTGGCGCGGCAGCGGAGTTTCGCCCCGGCGACGTGCCTCCGCGCGCATGCTGTGCACGCGCGCGAGCACCTTCGCCTCCAGATCCCACGGCGGTAATCCGGCAAGGAGGTTCGCCGACTCCCCAGAGATCGTGCGGTATCCGCGGATCATTCGGATCGCCATGACCCTCTGTGCCATGAGCAGCGTCCGAGCGGGACGCCGCAACAGGTTAGGCGCCCAAACAGGGGCGCCGTAGAGGGCCATGGACCGCACGACCCCGGCGTATAACCTCCGGCAGGAGGCGTTTGGCCCCCCGAGGTTGGGGAGGATGATAGTTATAGGTATAGCTTGTCATTGAATGAAGTAAAATCAATATCTGTCGGATTATAGTTCACCGCGGCTCCGTATCGGCATCAGCCCTATTGGGCCCCATCCGTGGTGATCTGATGGCTCTTTGAGGCGCAGGCTAGGCTGTAAATATCAATTCAAATTTTCGAAGCTAGCTCATTGCTCATTGGTCGAGATTATTCTATCAACCAATGAAATGGCGGACTGCAATTAAGTTCACTTCTATCTAGAATTGGAAGTTAAAGAATAACCTAGATGAATTGTCAAGCTGAAGTATTTATTTTTAGGTACGTATTAAACTAAATTCAGAAAGAAGAACAGGAGATATTTTCATTAACTATTATACTGCTGGCACATGAAGGGCTTGCTAGCTCGTAAGGTATCGTTATCCACAATATGGTAGTTTTATTATTCTCCTTGACAAGATTATCCCTTCAATGACAATGTAGGTATAATACAAATATTACTTTTATGTTCTCATAATCTCATATCTAATTTTCTTTAGCATGTAGGTATAGAACAAAAAGCTCTCCAGTAAATACAAGATTAATTATTTTTGAGTAATATATTCTTTGATAATATATCTCGTCGTGGTGGCCCGGAAGTTGAGGCTTCTCATGCATGAGGGTGCGGGTTCGAAGCCTACAAACGGCAAGTACCAATGTGACTTTTTCCGAGTTAAGTATATGTACTTTCTAAGATTATTTAGACACCACTGACAAACGGTGAAGGAAAACATCGTGAGGAAACCTGGACTTATAATTTCTAATTATTAGTTTGAAATCGCCAACCCGCAATGAGCAAGCGTGGTGATTAATGCTCAAACCATCTCCGTGTGTGAAGAGACTTTGCTCAGCGGTGGGCATTTATAGGTTGTTGATGATGATGATGATTCTTCGATATGTTGACTTAGGTTAAACACATATAAATATACATAAAGGTACAAATTTAATAGATATCACAGGGATAAAGGTTTCTTACTTAGTTTTTCTACTCTAGTTTTAGTACACAGCACGTCAAGCTACTACTTACTGCCACTACATTTTCAACAATATATCCTTTGAGACAAAGTCGAAAATTTAATGAATAATATTGATAGATTGGAGAAGCTTGACACGCTGTTGTCTGTATTTGTAAGACGTGAATTTTTAATGCTATAGATAATACAAGATTATAATTAATACCGTAAAGTGATTGAGTGAATTCAAACTATGGGTACAGTAAGGACATCTATCTACTATTGTCTTAAGTTTTCTAACATATATTATGATTACAAAAAGTCACTTTCGTATCCGAAGAATAAGGTCGAAATTGGTTTGTGCGTTAGAGGTGTAATTTCTTGCCTGAACTTTGGACCGTATTTATAGGATCTAATTTGTGAATATTAGTTGGCATTTACAAACAGTGAAAGTAGTATGAAGCTTATATTAAAGACATTAGTCACTGGTGTGATTATTCTTGGATATTTCTTGGAAAAAACACGATTTTATTATGAAGTCATTAAGCAAAAATTCACACTATGTAGATACAACTTATTGGGTCATCTCTTTAGACATACAATATATAACATCACGCCTTTTATCCCCGAAGTGGTAGGCAGAGGTACACATTACGGCACTGTACAATGTACATTTTACTTTTTATGTTATGCGTCCCATGAAATAGGTGGTGAGCCTATTGCCATATACCGGGTACAATTCCAAACTCCGTGGTTTTTTTTAAACACAATAATACTTTATCCAACCCTGGAATCGAATCCGAGACCACTTACCGGGCAGTCACACTTGCAACCACTCGGCCAACGAGGTAGTCTTCAGACAACTTAGATATTATGAATGCAGGATAGTTGCCGCCGTACTCAGAGTCATTGGTTGTGATCCAGTCCATAGCAATTGGGTATTTGCCATCTAGTCAAATTCAATACTTCTTTCGAACTGTCAAAAACTACAGTTTTCTATGAATTTTGTACGAGATTGTGTATTATGACGTCACGTTCTTTAGCATCAAAAAGCGGTAAAATGGAGTCAATAGGGATCGAGAGGTAAATAGGGATAGAAGAGGGGTGAATCGATACTATGAAAAATTGCTCTATATCTATTCACCCGTCTTCTGTCTCTATTCACCACTTGAACCTTATCCACACCATTTTACGGTACTTATTACTTAAAAATTTGCTGAAAGAATACTAAAGTTATATATTTATTTATCATTTCATGTACACCATATAGCAGACAATATTACAGAGGACAACACATTACAAACACATGAGGTTCATAAGTAAGTTGGTCATAAAATCAATTAATGAAAGTGTGATTATTTTTTTATATTTTATTGTAAGTACCTACTGAACAGTAGAAATAATTTAATTTTGATTAAGTAAAGTAAGTACCCAATTGTTTCCGAAACAAAATCGTTAGGAAGGAATAGTTTAAATAACAATTAAATGTTTTCCAGTAGGTATTCCATAATCCAGGCACTAACTATAATAGGTAGTGAAAAACTTGACATATTGTAATAAGTAGTTACTTATACACACATGAAGGAGAATCCGTGAGAAAATATGCAGTTACCACGTTTGCATGGGTGTATGAGTGTATCTACATCATTTTCTGACAAACAATAGGTTTTCCAAATCCTTACAATACTATATCTTAAATGTCCATTAAGTATGCAAATAATTTTCCAATAAATACATTTTATCAAAGTACCTTATACAAGCCCTTTTCAAATTTTTCCGTCACTCGAACGAGCATGTTTAAAGCACACATGTTATCATCAAAGGTTGGTATCTTCCTCGGGCTAACAGGAAAATTAGTAAGGAAATAAGTAAGTAGGTACATTAATTATATATGTTCTCATAATACATTTAGCTATAAACAATATACGAAGTACCTTATCAAAAATTACAATAGAAGTCGGTACTGTATTATACTATACATTTGATAAATTTATATAACATCTCACATTCATAGACCTTGTCCAACGCATAGCAATACTTTAGCCATTTAATAACCATTTCCATATTTCATACACACACGATACGTCTTTTCAACACAGCATCAAGTAATCAACTGATGAAACCATTCACCAACTTTGGTCCACATCGTTCAACATTCTAAATTTGAATTTGCCGCGAAATTACGAACATGGCGGGCACGAAGACCGTTGTTCCTGTGTCGGCTGCGCGCGCACCGCCAGCCTCGAAGGGTCGACGGGGTTCGCTTTCGCTACTAGAGAGCGTGCCACATGGGCGAAGGCAGCTTCGACATTCAGTCCGGTTTTGGCTGATGTCTCCATAAACGACACTTGGTATTCTCTCGCTAAGCGCTGCCCCTCCTCCCGCCTCACCGCCCTCTCTAGGCCGCTGTCGGATTTGTTACCTGCAAGCATAATGTAACACGACCTCTTTTCATGTGGCTTTGTTGAGCATTGGGAACCCCTCAACTGTGTATTTGTTTGTGACGGTTACGGCAGTTCATTTACATTGGTAAAGAGCTGAGAAGCAAGGTCGATACATATTATTTGTAAACTACAAAATGACTTAGAGATGAAGTCTGCTAATGGCTACCATCTATATCCGCAGATCTTAGTCATGACAGTGTCTCATAAAACTAAATGCTTACCTTTAGTGGCTCTACCCCGATACCTCGAGTACTTATTCGATGAAATTTTTAGAAAGGTTCACTTTTATTGTTAGGTATAGATATATCTAAAAACTTGAAGAGGTTAAGATTAACGGAAATAAAACTTATTTTATTGAATGCACCAAGACCTACAGGGTGACAATTTAACATACTTATCCATCGTATTATCTACTTCCAAGTTCTCATTTAATCCATTATGTGCACTATGTAATTTCATGTGTAGAATGCCTAGCTAACTAACCCTATTTAGTTTTGTAAACCAGGAATCCTTAAAAAAAAACTTAGATATACTAGATGTTTTAAAGAAACCAATTCTCTCATACAAAGAGTTCTGGAGCTTTTATATCCCGTACTCACCTAACAACATGATGACGACATCATCTTGCGCATACTCCCGGATCTCCCCCAGCCACGCTCGGATGTTGTCGAAACTAATCTTGTTTGTCACATCATACAGGAGCAGCAACGCTGGCAGAGAAAATTAGAGCATTAGATAAGGGATACTTTGTTTATTTTAAAGGCAATGTATGGTTTGAAGGTCTAAAACGGGATGCACCTTCATCGTTATTTATGTTTAGGGTCTAAATTATTAAATTTAAACCGATGGAAAGTAGGTGAACAGTTAACCTTTCCTCAATGTGTGTTTTAAGTACTCAGGTACCCATCTTCGCATGGAAATTTATCAGAATCAGCTCTGTGGTTTGTGGTTATGAAGATGTGAAAGTGTCACATACAGATCTACAGACAATTTATAAGAGAATACATTTAATGGAGCATATAGTCATTGTGAATCAACGTTTTACATTCACAGATAGGGTGCCCAGTTAAAAAAAGGTTCCGTAAAAATTGATATGAAAAAAATCCATATTACCAAGCCTTGTGCGCCAATAAACAGCATGGCCATAGCTCACAATATTTCTAGAACATTCGATCCAAGTCGAGACAAAATAGAGGCCTACCATGAATCAATTAAGAACGGCCCCGATAAGGATACTGGACTAAGTTAATGACATGATGTGGCTATGACTAGTTGAATGTGACCCAATCTAGTTCCACTCGTGTGAATACGTGAGCCGGTTTGCTAACAGAAACAGGTCGAGGCCAGACCTTGGCGGCTTGGTGGCATTTCTATATTCCCGACGCACCTATTATGATGACTCAATAAGAGCCGAACTGCCGAATAGTGTTCCAAAAGCTTGCTAAAGCAGAAACTGTCATAAGTTGATTATAATACGACATATTATTATTATTATCAACGATAGTTGGGTTCGACGCTCAATGTAGACTTCTCAGAAACAGACGCGCCATGCCATGTGGTAGACATCATGGGCATTCAAAGTTGAATAGGGTTCTGTTGACCATGTCTCACCGATAGATGGCGTTAAGGTATACAGATTACTCTTAAGCTGGCACGAAATATAATTTTATCAAATACAATAATTTAATTTATACGTTACTTATAAAAATAAAAATGTATATGCAGTTTATTAATTACCATGGGCATCTCTGTAGTATGCATGTGTTACGCTACGGAAGCGCTCTTGGCCGGCGGTGTCCCAAATCTGAAGCTTCACTTTGACACCGTCTACAGTCACTACCTTGTTCTGTGAACAGATGGCGCTAGTTGTACTAAATTGCAAATGAATGGTTGTTTGAGAAAGTTTGTGGAGCCTGAAAATGATAATTTGAAATATTACAACACATGGTGGTAATGATTAAGGAATCGAAGAAAATATGCCACAGATTTAATTTTGTCATGTACCTACTGTGTGTATAGGTTATAGCTACTCTGTAGAAAATATTGCATCACGTTAAACATTTACATACATAGGCACTCGTTAAAGTAAAGATACCTAACAAAAAAAAACATGTGTTTTACTATCAGATCATTTATAAATCGTTGAGCAATTAAACAAAACTATTATGACTAGTTTTTTCTCTTATCATAAAAAGTTGACTGTAAACTTGTTATTGGCTACCCAGATAATTTTTCTAGCCCATAAAGACAGCTATAATAAATCAAACTGCAAAAACTGTACAGGCAAGAAAAAAAACCTTTGCAACAATAAATCACTCAGGCGAGCAGTCGATTCAATCACAGCTGTCATGGGCAAGGGGCGGGAACGGAAAAAGCGCGCCAAACTTCGAACACCAATAGCGTTGCGGCGAACCGGTCGCGTGCAGCCATTCACTGGCCCATTTGAACTTGGAACCCTTGACGGTCATTAATTACTTTTTTTTTGCACGAATTAAAAATTACAATAACATTATTCACTGATATCGGAACTTTTTGCTCTTCTTTTCGACGAATAAAAATCAATGAAAGCTTTTTGCTGGACGTTGAACTGACTTTTTCTACGTAAGTTGTCACGGGTTTAGAAACCGAGGCGGTGGTTAATTTGATTCTGATTATGAAACAGTAGGTAAAGTTAAAATATTTTGTGGATTCTGTAAATATATACTAAGATAGATAGATAGATAGAGAGTTTGAATCAAAATAAAAAAATAACCCGAATTTATTTGCGATTTTTTTGAGTAAGTATTGTTATTTAATTTTTCATTTTTGTATATTAAAAGTAAGAGGTTATACACAGGTTGCCTAAACAATAATCAATCTTCAAAAGTGGCCTAAGCCACTTTTGAAGATTGATTGAGGAAAAACAAAAGTATTGGTATAGATGGCGCTGTGTGTATTGGTAAATGTCACATAGGCTACTTTTTATTCTTTTGTGACGCGAGCGAAGCCGCGGGTAAAAGCTAGTAAGTTTATAAGTAGATAGGTAATATCATTGGCTACGTATGTAAAAGACATAGAGATTAGAGTCGGCACGTGCAACGTGAGTCATTGTACCCGGAAGTCGATGCCAACGGTGGATATGTAGTTTCCTGCGAGGAAGGTTCCGTCCCGGAAGCGAACTAGCATGCAAGTCTTGCCGACACCGCTGTCACCGAGCAGCATTACCTGCAAAATGATACAAAATTATTAGATATAAATAGGACCAAGATATTGATAAGTTCAACTAGAAATGGTATTTAACATTAAAAAAAAGACTGCCTCGTTGGCCGAGTGGTCGCAATTGCGACTGCCGGGTAAGGGGTCTCGGGTTCGATTCCCGGGTCGGGCAAAGTATTACTGGGTTTTAAAAAAATTCTTAGTAGTAGCACGGAGTCTGGAACTGTGACCGGTATATGGCACGCAATAGGCTCACCCCCTATTACATGGGACTCATAACATAAATAGTGAAAAGTAGGTGTTACATAGTACAGTGGTATAATGTGCACCTCTGCCTACCACTTCGAGGATAAAAGGCGTGATGTTATGTAAAAAAAAACGTTGCCCCACACTAGGACTTTCTCCTGTGTCGTGGGTGCGTTTACAAACATACAATTTCACATACACATGACACCCAGACCCGAAACAACAATTTGTGGATCATACAAAGTGTTGTTCTGTGCGGGAATCGAACCCGCGACACGTTGCACGGTAGCCGGTTGCTCAGCCACCGCACCAACCATGCAGTCGCATACCACAGCTTTGGCAAAAATGCAAGAAAATTTAATGTGAAAGCCTAAAAGGTTGGCAATGCACTCCTCTGGTGCTGCGGGTGTCTATGAGCGGAACCGATGGCTTTCCATCAAGTCCTTCAGGTCAGTTCATCCATTGATCATTTATATAATTTACTGAATTTATTATATAATTTACTTTATTGACATTGTAATTCATTCATTGACACCTAAATTTTACATTTTTAATTTAATAACTTTGGATTTCAATTTGAGAATTTAACATAACATAACATCAAGCCTTTAATCTCCGAAGGGGTAGGCAGAGGGGCACATTATGCCACATTACAATGTTACACCCACTTTTCACTATTAATGTTATGAGTCCCATGTAATAGAGGGTAAGCCTATTGCCATATACCGGGCACAATTCCAGACTCCGTGCTACTGAGAATTTTTTAAAACCCAGTAATACTTTGCTCGACCCGGGAATCGAACCCGAGACCCCTTGCCCGGCAGTCACACTTGCGACCACTCGGCCAAGGAGGCAACTAAATGAATCTGTCTATCTAAATATATTCCGTAAAAAGTACCTAACTTAAATATTGACTCTAATCCAAGTAATGATTTGTCAGCAAGTCATAAGCAGTAACTCTCTAGTTAGATACACACAGACTAACATAGTGATTGAAATGTCAAAAGCAAAGTTAGGAACGACCTTAATTAGTACCTACCTACGGCCAATTTCGAAACTTCTAAAGCTCTCATTCGGATATAGGTAGACTTACGTTTAATTAGCGAAACGAAGCTAGATGTAGCGTATAATATTACATTGGATTTTGGTTAATCGGAATAGCTATAGATAAGTTTGTTAGTGAAAGATGGTAAGTACCTACTTAAAATCTGAGCTAACTTTCATGGCATCTACGAAACGTATCAAATACATATATAACATACATAATGTCACGCCTTTTTATCCCCGAAAGGGTAGGCAGAGGTGCACATTATGTCACTGTACAATGTAACACCCACTTTTCACTATTTATCTTATGAGCCCCATGTAATAGGGGGTGAGCCTATTTCCATATACCGGGCACAATTCCAGACTCCGTGCTACTACTCATCTCATACATACTCATCTATAATGATAACTCTTTTATGGGTGTTCTCAAGGTGGATATTATATTTGGTTTAAAGTTCTGTTGTCACCTAAAGAAACCTCTTCTTGGTGAGCATTTGTAGCTCCTTAACAAGTTTTCTTTGGCTACTAAATATTGGTATATGATGTGAACATAAATAATCGATTAGCTAAACTTCCTAATGTATTCCCATTATTATAGGTACAGAGAAACCTTTTATCTTTACGGAATTAGAAAAAAATATATGTTTTGGCCTATTCCACTTAAACCCTTTTAAAGGCGACCTGTCCTGAACCCTTCTTAATGTTATCTAATATTATCTTCTATTTGTAATTATGTATATAATTCTTACTTACTTTGCCAAATACATCGTATTTATCTTCATGTTTTGAATGCTGTTCCCAGGTTTCTGTAGGAGAAGGCGGTTCACTATGAGGCATAACTCCAGCTTCTGCTTCGCTCTTCTCATCATCTTCTCTTGCTTCGGGAAGATTTCTGGCCCAAGTTGGTCGTACTCTTCCTACTACAACTCTTTTCTCCATTTGTCGGTTGTCCATGTTTGGATTCCACATTTTTGGGCTTGTTTTTTTAGAACATTACACAATAAAACCTTTATAATCCAATTAGTGTTGTATTTATCTTATATTTGGTTCATTTTTGTTGTGCCCTTCTTACTAAACACACGGTTATCATAAAACACAGAACACTGACTTTTCAGACCAATAGTTTTATTTACGATTTTCACTTTATTTTAGTGTTCCAGAACTTTCTACAGATATAACAATCAATAAGTACCTACTCAAAGAACAAAAGATTCAATTCAATTCAATTTTATTGTTTTATTAAAAGCTGGATGTTTGCAAAGAAATCTGAAATTTATCTTTTTGTTAACGTAATTGACGGCTTATTGTTAAGGCACATCAAAGTTAATGAGTATCGAAAACTAAGAAAAGAAAGACAAATGAATTAAGTAACAATATCTCCTTTAGTGAACAATGTTGATAACAATCAGAGTTTTCAAAGTGTAGTTTTAATTATATTAGTAAAGCTAGATATTATTCTGGACTATCTAGACAATTCGAAAGGCAGTCTTGTTCTAAAACTCGTAGCAGAAAATAAACTAACTAGCTTTGAAAGTTCTTTACAGTTGGCAACTCAAAATAAATTAAAAAAAGTTTTGTTCTTCATTTTGTTTTAAGTACAAAACTTATTAACTTTGTTCGCCATCTGAGCAACCACGGTCACTGTCAATACGTGCAAGAAAGCAGAATGTCTTATTCTTTTGTAGTTGGTAGATTTGATATTAGTTGTCTTATATCTTTTAAGACTTTAAGTACTTACCTACCTATGTTAAACATCGTACTTACATGTACATTGTTGTACATAATTTATACTAGCGACCCGCTCCGGCTTCGCACGGGTGCAATATGTATGTATTATACATATAAACTTTACTTAAAAATCACTTTATCTATAAAAAAAACCGCATCAAAATCCGTTGCGTAATTTTAAAGATCTAAGCATACATAGGGACAGACAGACGGCGGAAATCGACTTTGTTTTAGTTTATACTACCTATGCAGTAATTCTGGAGAATTTCGAGTATTTAGACATTATTCATTTTCTAATTTAAAGCACAAAGTCTTTTTATTTACATCATATAGCCATCATCATCATCCGTTGATACTTGACTTTTGAGGCATTGACGTTAATGCGTAACTAATTAATCTGAGTAATTCTATAATCCGACAGATATTGATACCTATAACCATAATACGGAGCCACGGACTTAATGGGTTGCCGGGGCTCCGGCTCGAAGTGCAGGAGTAGGAACGGGGTGGTTTTTAGTCAGTAAGAGTCTATTGATTTATTTCGATGATTATGCCGCCTTAAAAAATACGTATATCAATCATACATAAACGTATTACCTACACCGCCAAATCTTTCACCATTAGTATCACGCCATCCCATTAAAGCCTCAATTTTCGTCATTATGTCTCATTTATTTTCCATCAATGAATATTTCATGCTTATTGGACATGCCATACAAATTGGAGTAATACAATTTATTAAATCTATTTGTTTTTCATTTATCATTGTGGGAAATAGGAAAACATCACGCATGTTGTTTCTCAAATAAGTAAGCAAGCAGATGTCTCTTTTCCCATTAGTTATATAACCTAGGCATTTGTTCTTATCGCCAAACAGCGAATATCTACCGGGCATTAAAATACAGGACTTGGACAACTAAGTTTGGCTAGGTGTTTTTTTTTTCTGAAAATAAATTCTAGGTAGATCGATTCATCACGCCTGAAACCCCTTAAATAAATACAAAATGTCAAGAAAATCGTTGGAGTCATTTCTCAGATCGTCGATATATTATACAAAAATGGCTCGCTTGAATGAATTCGATATGAATTCATATAACAGTGAGTTTCTTATCTATTGCTTTGTCTAAACCAATGAACGGCTCTATTGAAAAACGATTAGGAACTGAGGTTTATAAAACATAACTGACGAAAAGTTAGTTATCTGTAGTTTAACCTCTGCCAATCCCTTTAAGTAATAACAAATCTAACTTAACGTATCCCTCACAAATGTACCCAAGTCATTTGTTTACACAACTTGAGTTTGTATTAGCGAACTTCAAACGGGTTGAGCCTAATATCTGTATCTCGTATTTATGTTTCGAGCTTAAGAAGATTTGTGATATTAATCTCCTATGTTTAATGTTTGTTGCAATGTTATTTGTGTACAATTTATAAAGATAAATGAATAAATATAAGGTTAATTGGTTGTTTGTGTAATAAAGGATTATAAATTGATCTAAGTGTGGGAGAGCCATGCTTCGGGACGAATAGACCGGATCGACCGATATCGAGTGATACCACGGCCTCACAGATAACCAACGTGGACGTGACGTGCACGACGAAACACAACGCAAGCGTTGCGCTTGCGTTGTGTTTCGTCGTGTGAGTGAGGTTACCAGAGGCCCCCTAACGCCTCTGGTGTTCCAGCTGTCCATGGGCGACGCTGATTGCTCACCATCAGGGGATCCGTCTGCTCGTTTACAAGCTTATCCCATAAAAATGGTTTACTGGCAAACTACCAGTGGATAATAATTAGTAAGCTAAGAAGTACTTAGCCACGTATATAACATATTACATAGGGGTTTGTCATAATCTTCGCGCTTAGCAGGCGGGCTGAAGATCGCAGTTTTACATTTTTATCAGAGTACAGTCAAGTCATTTGACAGAGACTGTACAGAGTAGGTACTAAACATTTGTGTAGCTAAAAGTACTATTACATTCTAAGGCTAAAACAGGTACGGTGCTGTATTTCACCTGCTCTGTATTCTAAAAGGGTAAATTAAACAGTATACCTATAACCACACATACCTACTAGAATGATTTTCCATACACCCCTAAGCACTATCCTAAGCTGTACGGATTCATGAAAAGCCTTTTACCTGACGTCTTAATGCAAAACCCGGTCCCCGTAGCGCATTAAAATCTCGATTTATAGGGAAACCAGCTTCTATACGGCGAAATAATATTCTATCTATTTTGAAATGTTTGGTCTCATAATATTTATATTTGATATGTCAGAAATGAGTTCAGTACTCGTGTTTGAATTATGAATTTCTTATGTTTGTGGAATGCCGCAAGGAAGTGATTTTGGTCCTTCGTATTTCTTTCGTAATCTCATGTAGAAAATGTTTTTTTATTACTTTGTTTGAGACCAATATAATCCTTGGCAAATACAATTTTGGTATTTGACTACTAAATATTGTTGAACAATAAAAAATAATTTTCCATTTTTGCCAGACATTCACGACATATGAAAGTAAAAGCTAAAACTATTTGTAATACCTTACTATATAAAATTCGGTTCCTATCCCGATTTTCATCAGTCTAACTAATCTAATACGCGATCTAACCGCAGGCATTTGCCTAGCTTGTCACTTCATAATTAGGTCTATATTACACCTAAATTATCATGAAGCAGACTATCAAACAGACCACAGACTGTCTGACAGATGAATCAATATCAGCTATGTTTATTAGGCCTAGCTATTAATTAGTAATTATGGCTTTATCGATCGAATGGGTAGAAAAAGCCACAGTTGTCGAATGAATTATATGGGATAAGACGTAAGCACGAGCAGAGCTTCAGGCCTGATGATAAGTGAACATCCACAACACCAGGGGAACCACAATTGTGTTGCTGGTTTTATGTTGTTAAGACTTTAAAAGGATGATGTACGGTCCAAGAACTTACAGGGCTATTATCATTTCATCAATAACCATTAAAATGTTGCTGTTCATACCATCTCTAGGTACCCATGAAATGAACAGCGTGATGTTCTGTAATACCATTATGTTGATAGGCATATAAAACCACTTACAACGAAATAAATTGACAAGATACGTCTCTGGTCGCATATTCATTACAAGGTAATCGAATCAGAGCCGGCAAATCGATTAATTACATTTAGGAACGATTTCACTTTGTACCGAGAATTTCGTGGTACAACGTGCTATAATGTAATTAAATACCTATCTACTGTTGGATGTAAAACGATATTCTGAAAGGGGTAGGCAGAGTTGTGCTTGCCTATAAAAACACAGGACACAATTGGAAAGCCCAGGCTAATAGTGAACACTAGTTTTTTTCCTCGTTGCAAACTTTTAGAGCCTGAAGTCCCTGTTTATACTGGCTTCAAAATAAGGAGGAGGTACTATGTTCGGCTGATTGTTTTTTTGCCGTATTGAAGTCGGAGCCATAAGTTCTTATCAAAATGATATATACAATACCTCAGTGGTCACGAAGTTGTAAGCAGCTGAATATTAGATATCTCTTAAAGGTTTTAATGAATAATGTTATTTAGAACTTATGGCGCCGATTTGTAACTTATCTGTGGTTGGGTAACCTATCAATATTAATAATAGTAATTTTTTACTTTGTGTTTGTATTAGTTTTTTGGAGTCGAGTTTTTTAAATGCAGTTTTTTTTTGTTTCTCTAGGTATACAACCTATATAGGTGCAAGGATTAACTATTCTAGACTACAATTATAGAGCAATTTCAATGCCGCATCACATATTGTTGCTTCACTAATCTTTGTCACCTAATGCACAGTCTACTAATCGGCTTACGAGATCTTAGTTAGGCGTAACAGCTGCTTAATATTCAGACATCACTTACTTACATAGGTAATAGAAACAATAACGATTTTAACTAATTAATTAACGCTTATACCTAAGTTAGGTTTGTGTTCGGTGATTGGTGAATGCAAAATCGTCTAGAGATCATGCGATGCGGGTTCATTCCATTTAAGACCTTCATGATCTAAATCCAAAATCTATGACAAATCTTTCGCTAACGCCGGTCACCTGTGAGTGTTTAGCCAAACGCCACTTTAGCGCTTGTCTACAGATAGAGTAGAAAACTAAATGTATTGGAATGACACTGACAAGTGTCAAAATTTACGTCAATCCCATATAATTTAGTTTTCTACTCTACAAGTAGACAAGAGCTAAATGGCATTTGGCTACAGCTGCAGGGTAACAG